ATGTCTCGAGCGAAATGGCCATATTGGGGAATCCGCCAGATATAGATATATATATATATATATATATATATATATATACTCAAGGATTCAGCCAGAACGTCCCGCTTGCTTCTCGTACCTCGAAGACGCTTCCCGTCATCCGCCAACGAAAAACGCCGTGCAGCGCGGCAACCCATAGATATAAAGATATATATATATATATACTCAAGGATTCAGCCAGAACGTCCCGCTTGCTTCTCGTACCTCGAAGACGCTTCCCGTCATCCGCCAGCGAGGTGCGGGATGCGATCGGCACCCGTTAGTTAGAGAAAATCAAGCCCCTGAACCAACGGTGCACGCCGGAGGCGCTTCCCGTCATCCGCCGGCGCACCTCGGGGCCAAATCCTGCCTCGGTCTTCCTCGGGGGCGATTGGGGCCACTTGGATTCTGGCGGGCAAAGGTTCCCCCGAGCTTCGGAGCGCGATGCTCTTAGGGTTTCGGCGGCTGCGAGGCCGGATGATGCGGTCGTCTGTTTTGCTCCTACACGTGCTGAAGTTGCTCTGCAAGACTACGCTCGTTGGCGCGAACCCGATGATTGTACTTTCAGCGGCGGTCGCATGACGGTGCACCAACCTACCCTGTCCTGTTACCCTGGACATCTCGCTTCTGAGCCCCGCTGCGCGTCTTTTCAGCGATCGTCGTGGACCGGCCGATCGCGCCCCTGTCGCCCGCAGCTGTCCCCCAGCAAGAGTGTCGTTGGACGCCGCCCAGGCGTTGGTCGCCCACTTTGAGTCCCAGGACCTGCTGATTGAAACCGCCGGGGGCGCGGCCTTGACATCGAGATTTGCGCGCGCGCTGTTGAGGATCGCTCGCGAGCGCGCAGCCGTCGGCGCGGCCCAACCACTGAACGTCAGGGGGCGGCGATCTGGTCGAAGCTCATGCGAGGCGCCCAGCAGCGTGATCCCCCCCTTGTGCGCAGGCGTCTCCATTCGCTGCCGTTGTTTAATCAGTATTTCGACGCCGCCTGCTCCTCTCTGACAATGCACGGTTTGAATTGCATTTGCAAGGCGTGTGCATGGATGTCTTCTGCGCTGAGATCAGCGAGTCCTGCGTCTGGAAGGGAGTCCCTCGCGCGTCGACCCCGCCCCCGCTCATCTTCGCGACCTACTCGGGCTTGGGTCTCCCGCAAGGTGCCGTCTTGCCCGCGCCCGCGTTCCCGACCCCGCGGCTCCGCGTCTGGTTTCCTTGCTGAGAGTGCTCGGGACCCCCCTCCTGGCACTAGGGAACAGTGCGCAGGGGCCGCTCATGACAATGTCAGAGCTTCATTAGTCCTTCAGGAAGTTCACCAGGTAGTTATCCATCGCGCTTCATGAAGCATGATATTTTGGACGTGCGCCAGGCCATGCGCGGCCCAGATCCTGATCGCGACGGCATTGGATATGCCGCGCTGGAAGAAGCTGGCGGCGAGTTCTGCCGCGATTGTTTTTTGATACCTAGTCTCTCCGGCTTGACTGCCAGGACGCCAGGGCGGGTTCCAACTGCGCCTTTGCCGCGCGTGCTCCTGGGGCGGGGGGGGGGGGGGGCGATGGCGGCGGCGATGGGCTCTTTCGAAATGTCGGCGCGACTCGCCCGATTGCCTCGTCCAGATAAGATATATGAGATCATTGTTGCTGCTGCTGCTGATCCGCTCCCCGCCCAAGCTCAGCGCTCCGCCTCCTCCGCCCAGGGGGGCTTCAGCAATGAGCGAAACATCGACGTTCACATTCTGAGCATGGAAGCTTCGCAGATCTATCATGTCTCTTTTTCAGGGGTCGCCGCAAGCGGGACCGCGTTTGCTCGATCCGGCCGCTGCGATCCCGTCTCAGAGCCCCGACTGGATAGTTGATTGTCTCTCACGGCTTGCTTTGCCTCGCTCCCCCTTGCGCGCCGTCGGCGAGCCCTCCGAGGACGCGGTCGCCGATGGCGCTCTTCCGGGGTAGGTTTTCAGAGGGTTCGAGGTCTCTCATGGGGCTAAGGAAGGGTGCCCATTGAGCGGGATGATACTTGCGCTCTGCGACGGCCCCATCTTTCGTCGCTTCCAAGGCGCCCTCCGACCGCGTGCTGCGGGGCCACGAGGTGTCGCCGACGACATGGGCGTCGTCTCTGTCAATTTGTCGGCGCCCAACCCGATGGCGCTTCGGCTGATGACCGATGCCGCGGACGTTTCGGGGCTGTGGCTCAATCCAAAGAAATGCGCCAGTGCGCCCCCTGCCGACCCGGATCGGGCTCGCATTATTGCTTCCTTCCAGGAGGTTGGTTTGGGCAGTTCCCCCATTCCAGATTTGCTCGAATGGTCGGTAAATTGGCATCTGTCTGGGGCCCACTGGGCCGCGGGCCAGTCGGGGCAAACAGTTTGGGAAGTTCAGGGGCCGTCTCTATCATGTCCGCGGGCTGCCCCTGGGGCTCACGCAGTGCGTCTGCTGCTCCGCGCCGACCGCGACGTTCATCAATCTCTCTCGGCGGGGCCCCGACGGGGCGATCCCTTTTCTTTTCCTGGCGAACTGTGACCGCGTCGGCCTGCCCGCGAAGACAATGTCGATCCAGGTGGACAGACGGTTGCCATGCACCGCGTTTGTATACTGCCCGACGCCTTCTGCGAAAATGCGGCTGCCAGCGCGAGGCCCGCGATTCTGAAACGGATCGTTATGCGTTCCCCCTCGAGGCCAAGTGGGTTCGCGAGTCCACCGTTGTCGCCCTCTGTTCGATTTTCGAGAAGTTCCAGGTTCTCCCCAATCTACCGCCCGACCCCCACGCCGCCCTGCTGCAGAAGGAAATCGCGAAGGTGCTGCATCACATCACGATACCGAGCATCCCAGTGGGTTTAGCATTGCCCCCTTGGCTCCGCAAGTCCTGGCCGCAGGCAAACGAAATTATGTCCGACTGCGTTGTAGGTCTTAAGGACGGATGTCTCCATCGGCACATTTACCCTCGCTGCATGTTTACGGTTTCCTTCCCCCACCTGCGCTTCATCGGCCCACTTACCCAGGGGTTAGTGCGCGTCGGCCAAATTTCAACCGAGGCTTGCAAAGTTGCATAGTTTGACGCCAGGCCGTGGGAGGTGACCAGGTCTTGCACTACTTGTCCTACCCTGTAGCCCTCCGTTATCTACCATCTGTTCTGCCCTCTCTGCCCGGAAAATATACCGAATGGTCAACCACAGATAGACTGATTCTGTGCACGTCCCCTCCCTCACATGTGGGATGCCGAGCTCAGGTCTGCCCTCCTCGCGCATGGCCGTACTTCTGCTTCCTCTTAACTTTCTGCGCGCCCATATGCAACGGGGGAATGGGCGGGCTGCTGCAGTGGAGCTGATGGAGGACGGCCTCGCACGTCTTGGCTGCCAGCGTTCTGAAGATGCCACAGTGGCTTTACAGTGCGAAGAGGGTCTCGGGTTTTGTTTAACCCGGATGCCGAGGCATGATGGGGGGGCCCTTATATCGGGCGACAGTTTGCCCAGAGTTTCCAGGCAGGTATCCAGGATTGGTGAAAGCGACTCGAGCGGGAGGGCTTGGTGACGGCGGAGTTGGTGAGCCAGCACCCTTTCTTGAATTGAGCCGCTGACGCGTCACCCAGCCTGTGTGCCGACGACATTTTGAAGTTTTTGTTCGGGGGGCCGCGCTGAGGGATCCAGGACCTTGCTCAGATGAGCGAGCGAGCGAATGCCCTCCCGGATCAGGCCCTGGCCGAAAACGGTTGCAAGCAGCATACGGGCAAGCAAGGGATCATTCCTGTTTTTTCGGGGCCTGGGTCGGGGGCCTATGCGCGTGACCCTAGGATGCAAAGGGTCACCTTTCCCGCCCTGCACTGTGCCCGCGCCAGATATTTAGGAGGGCGAGCAGGAGCTACTTGTAGCTTTGCAGTAGAGTACGCATATCGCAAGAAGGCGGCGGCGGCTTATTACCCCTTAGGAGCTTTAAGTCTTTGGACCACGCTCCGCGGAGGATAGAGCGCGCGCTCCTAATGCGCTGTGTACAGAACACCGCATGGCGTTCTAATGGAGCTTTTATTTGCCCCGGGCAGCAATCTAGCGAATTATATCGTCTAGTAGCACGATGTGCTAGGAGAGCCATGAGAGGATCTGCACACGAATAACGAGAAACAGACACTGGACAACAGCATCGCGCACTCAGCACAGCACAAGAGCTGGAGCACTGGCGGATGGAACCCGCGAGCCTCGAGACGCGGGCGCGGCGCCTCCAGAGGTATCAGACCACGATCGCCCGCCAGTGGAGGAATGGCCAGGTTATCACCTCCATGTTCGGTCACTTCTCGTTCGAGGACGAACCGAGGCTGATCCTGGGAGGCCTGAAAAATATGCAAATTCATGGGCACTCCAATTTCGTGTGGATGTACATGGGGGAGTAGATGGGCTTGATGAGGATGGCGGGTATCTTGGGATGTGTATTCGTGCGGGGTGGGCACAGGTGTCTACCGCTGAGGAGGTGAATGAGGAGTTTATCAATCAAGAATCCACAGTTACGAAAAGGAGTACACATGTCAGCAGTACCGCCACCAGAACGGCACCCATCTCAGTTGCCCACTCAAACAATTACTACTGCTACTACAAACGCATGTACAGGTGGAGGAGGATGGCAATCTGGGTTCTCATTGGAAAATGGAATATGATGCACAGCTTGCTTTGACACATCTATGGCAGTTGCGCAGCATAGGATGGCCAAACATGGACAGCGTGATGCGTGGACTAGAATAGTTACCACGAATGTGTGCCAATTATGCCTCGTCGTTTTCGGATGCGCGAAGACTGCGCAGCGACGTCTTCTCTCGAGCGTGGCCAGGGGTGGACAGTGCATTTATCTCTCGAGATTCATCGGGGGGGCGACGACATCTTGATCGGGTAGACTGCCATCCGCGTGAACTGCGGGCCCGCACCTGCGAGCAGCTACAACAGAATTTGCAGAGTCACGTGCCGCCATTCAAAGTATTATCGGAGCTGGCATCGGCGCGGCCATGTCGACCCCGCAATGTTCTTCGCCGCGGCCGCCCCTGCCTGGGGCCTGAAGAGAGTGTCCGAATCCAGCTCAGGCTCAGACGGGCCAGCTCGCAAGGTGCAGGTCCAAGAGTTGCTCGCCAAAGGAGAGGACGTCTACACAGTAAAGAAGCTGCGCGTCGTTCTCGCAAAGCTCAGTTTGACGAACGCGGCCGAAATCAGGGAAATCACAGGCATGTCGTGGAATACGGTGCTCGTCGACGCAAAGTCGCACATCGCAGTCGAGATGATGGCCCAAGGCAAGTCCAACCACGAGGCCACCAAGACGGCAAAGGGAGACCCTGCCGCTCAAGGGCGCCTTGGGCCGCAGTACGTACACATACTGGCAGGCTTCATGTTGGGCTTGTCGATGACCCAGATAGAGCCCGAGCAGGGCCTGACGGAGTTCTGGACGAAGGGGGCGGCGGCGGAGGGCAAGACGCCAGTCGACCTGCTGGGCGAAGCAACGCACTGCAAGTGCAAAGCAGCCAATGTCAAGGATGGCAAACCAGGCCAGGCGAAAGTCACGACTGCGATGGGCACGGAGTTCGTCACGGTGCAAGCCGCGATCACGGCGGCGCCGGCGCAGAGCGGTGGCGTCAGGAAGCACGGCCCAGCTCGCATGGGGCCCCCTGGAGCGGGCGGCGCAGGACCTCCTCGAGGTGCTCGAGGGTACGTCGACGGGCAGCAAAAAGTAGCAGTATGACGCTCATTTTTCTGCCGAGAATGACGGCCATCCAGCGTGCGCAGATTGCACAGTTCTCCCATCGGCTTCTGCAGATGGTAGGGCGAGGAGCTGTCACGCTGGAGGCCGCGCTCTGACACCCAGGGGTGGCTGGAGTTTGCAGCCGCCCGAGAGGCGGAAGAGAGGGAAGGGGGGGCGGGGGGGGTGAGTGGCCGTGCTGTTGATCAGGCCGATGAGCCTTCTTCTGGGAGCCAACCCCCCCCCCTGAACCCAAGTTTTGAGCATTAGTATTCTTTTTGTTTGGAGGTCTGCGGCTGGATGTAGGAAGCGAGCCAGTTGTGCCCTGGATGGTGGGAGTGGCCATTGTGACCCCACCCCGCCGTCCAGGGCGGGGTGGCTCGCCCCGCTCTCTAGCCTAAGTATCTCTCGTGGTTGTGATGGTGCGGGGAGGCCCTTCAACTAACTCGGCGAACGAGGGTGCCTCAGACCGCCTGTGCAGTGCTCTCCTGTCTGCACAATGCAAGCGCCCCTCCAGAAGTTCCTTGATAGGTCCTCAGGGCAAAGACAGGTTTTTATTATGTATGTCACAAACTGGCGAATCCAGCCAGGAGTTGCCCAGGCATCTCACAAGGACAGACGTACCTAGTGCCCCCAGAGTTCGATTCCGATTCCGATTCCGCTTCATTTTCGTCCTCTTCTCTCTCCTCCTCATCCTTGTCCTCATCCGTTTCCTCCCTATATTCCCCTTTCTCTTGCTCCCTCTCACCCTAACTTCGACGGGTCTTCAGTTTTGATCCTCCCCCACTGTTCCCTTCGGCGGGGAACAAGCGCGACCCTCCTCATTGTTCTCCTCATTCTCCTCCTCCTGCTTCTCCTCCTCCTCCCCGCCCCCCCTCATCCTGCCTCTCCTCCTCCTCCTGCTCATCCCCGTCCTCTTCGTTTTCCTCTTGCTCCTCTTCGTTGTAATTATCGTAGTCGTCGTCGCCGTCGTCGGACCCCGGGAGCGGTCCGGGGAGTAACGGTATTGGTACCTTCTGGTTTCCCCACGACGGGTGAGGTTGGGCACCTTTCAGGGCCCATTTCGATGCGATATCGATTCTGGCCAGTCCGATCCGATTCGGTTTCGATTCTCTGACGATTCGGTTCGGCCCGATGCGTGCATTGCGTTGTTGTGCATTCTAGCGCAGCAGGGCCGATTTGATTTCGACTTCATGCCGGCGTAGCGCGATCCGACGCTCTTTTTGATTCGAGATGGTTCGGTCTTCGATGGTCCTGAGGCTTGAAAGAGGTCAAAATCGGCCGCTGTGAAACATGCGACGCCAGGATTCCAGGGAATATATATATATATATATATATATGTATATATTGTTGGTGTTTTTTTGATTCTAGTCCAGGAGTGCTGGTTTTTATCAAAAAAAGGCATCCGCATTTTTGTTGTGGGATCTGCGCGGATTTCTTGGATCGGCGCTGCCCCCCCCCCCTCCCTGTCGCGTGAAGCTCGCCACGGGGAGGCACCGCTAAGGGGGGCCCAGCGCCGATCCGAGAAATCCGCGCAGAGCTCCGAAAACTTCCATGCAATCATACCGTTGTTTGTTCCTGTCTGTAGGGATGACTTCTCCCCGCGCCCCGACTGCTCAGGAGGCCCCCCTTCCAGCATTATGGCGCGGGAAGGGTTCGGCGGACGAGACTTCGATCGAACATTTTGGTGCGGGAAATTCGACGGGCGATCCCCCCTTCCAGCATTTTGCCGCGGGAAGGGTCCCGCCTGTTCAGGAACCCCAGCCCCCCCTTTCGCGCCACCCCCCCTCCGTGCGCGCCGCCAGCCTAGGGTCGGCGGGTTTCCCGAGCTCGCCAGGGTTTCCCGAGCTCGCGAGGCTTCTGACCTCCCAGATCACCGGCGTCGTGATTCTTCATGTCTCAGAAGACCTAGACGAGCACGACGACAGCGACGAAGATGACGAGAACGACGACGACGATGACGACGAAAACGGCAAAGACAACGCAAACGACGACGACGATGAGAAAGACGATGAGAACGACGAGGGCGAAGACGACGCTGGCGGCGGCGAGGACGACGGCGAGGCTCACGACCACAACGAAGACGACGAAAACGACGACGACGACGACGACGACGACGACGACGACGAACGACGGAGTTCGAAGAGAACCACATAAGCAGTGGCTTTCGAAGGTCCGCGCGTTCGGCCGCGCGAGTGAGTGCCCTGGGCTCCCGCGCGTTGAGGCCGCGCGGACTGCCCTGGCGTGCGTAATCCGTCGCGTGAGGTCGCCGCGTCGTCGAGCACAAGCCCCCTTCCGGTTCGTCGGTCGCCCTTGGTCGAACAACAAGCCGGCATACGTAAACGTCAGTCTTCGGAGGTGGACCCCTGTGGCCACGCCTCCAGCGCTGCCCCTGGCGCGCTCCGCGCGCTAAAGTCAAAAACCCTAACAAGGACGCGCGACTTTGCTCAGGGTATCCTTGCGTCCTTGCTCGTCCTTGCTCATGCATCCTTGGGGTTTTCGTCGTCCGCCGCCCCAAAAATCTTAACTTCGGCTTCCAAGGGTCTTGCGTCCTTACCGCGCGTCCTGATTAGGGTTTTTGACTGTACCTGTGGCGCGTTCTGAGTCAGAAGGAGGAGGTACCGGTGCCCCTGGCTCGTCCTCTCGTTTTCTCCGTGTTTCGGGGCCTCCCAGGAGGCCCTGGTCGCCATGGCTGGATTCGCTTGGACATTCTGTCAGAACGTACCTCGCTCCGCGTTCCAGGGCTGGGGTGTTGAGACGGCCTTGGGCTAATCTATCGGCCTGTTGAGGCCAGCTATGACCACTTGGGGGGCCTGTTGAGGCCAGCCGGAACCTTCCTGGGGGGATGTCTGTGAGCAACCCGAAGCCTTACGGTCGGACCGAGGTATAAGATCGGGGTCGGTTCGGAGAGAGTGCCCTGCAGTTCTTCGTGTTAGTTGCATGTTCGTGCTCATCCTGGGGGAGGGTACCCTCGAAGGATCTCAGGGTTTGAGGTGTGTTGGCCGCCGGAGGGTCTCATGTTCCTGAAGGATGTTCTTCTCTCCTAGGTCCGACCGTACCATGGCGGGGGCGATAAATGTGTGGGGTGCTGCGGGTTGCAGAAAGGTTGGCCCTGCCGAGGGCTCTCAAACAGCGCCTGCCACTGCCGCCCGGGGCCTAACAGGTTCACGAGAGGGCGAACGGTTCTTCACCCCACCTTTACGGTCGGAGGATCGAGGTCAGTCTGGGGAGGGTAACACATATCTTGATGTTATTCGTGCTTGTTTGTTGTTTTTTGTGCATCCTGTGGGAGGGTATCGTGGAATGTGTTTCCTTTTGGCCGGCGGAGGCTCATGTTTTTGAAGGATGTAATTCTGCCTCAGGTTCGGCCGCATTGCCCCCCATTAACGAACGCCCGATATTCGAGCTCGTTTCTTTCAGTCGGACGTTGCCAAAGGCGAGCGACGGGAGAAAATGGGGTCGGTTGCGCCGACATTCGCCCTCTTCTCTACGCGGTTTGCCGCGCTGGCGGCACGCGCAAGCCGCGGCGTAACGTCGTTATTTTTTTTCTCGCGTTCAGGCGACCCTGGCCCGAAGTGTCCCCAGGGTGTCCGAGGCCCCAACGGCCTCAGGAGCACCCCTCGCTAGGCCCCAACGGCCTCAGACTGGGGGCTGCAAAGCGGAGCGCAAAGCTGATGACACCTGGGCCATTAACACTTCCCGGCCGCTTGCCCTGGGGAGGGAGTGGGCAAGGCAGAGGAGGAAAAAGTACCGATGCCGCTGCCAATTCCCCTGTGAGGCTCTCCTGTGAGGCCCTCGTCGCCACGGCTGGATTCGCCTCGAAATTCTCGTCAGAATGCACACTGGGAGAGGGGAGCGGTAACAGCACCTGTTGGCTTCCGCAGGAAGGCAGAGGAGACTGGCCGTCCCAGAAGGCGGCGAGGCTTCTCCGTAACCCTCCCGCTTTCCGGCGAAGTCGTCTGGGTTTTTTGGAGAAGGCCCACTCAGAAGGATGGCAGGACGACTTCTGAGAAGCCCCACCGTCTGGCGCGAAGACCAGGCCCCTCTGCCCTACTTACCTCCGGCGAGCCGCCGAATTCTTGGCAACTTCGGACTAAGGTGGCCTGTTGTCTTCATGCCAGGGAGGTCCCAAGAAGGAGCTTGGGTGGCGAGGCCGATGAAGAGATACATGTAGAGAGAGAGGGATCAGCCACGCACAAAGGGGGGTTGTGGGGAGGGAGAGGGCTTCTTAGGAGCACCCCTGCTTCTTAGAATATGCGGGCCATGTCTATGAATGTCAGGCCCGCGCCTTCTAAGACACAGCCTCCGTCTATTGAGAGGCCTTCCTCCCCGAATGCCACTCTCCATGTCCGCGCGCCACCAAGAGAGAGAGAGAGAGAGAGAGACAAAAATCAATACACAAGCATAACAACTGTGCCGTGCGTGGCTCTCTCGCGACGCCCAGAGGTCTGGGACCTAGTCGAATTTGTGCATCCGATTAGTGCGTGCCCAGACATACGCAGTGGAAGGGCCAGCTGAGGCCCTGGCGCCAGTCTCGGACGGGGAGGGAGGAGGAGGAGGTAGGAGAAGGTGGATGACGAGGATGAGGGGGAAGAAGAAGAGGGAGGACTATGAAGAACAGCGGGGATGAGGAAGGAGAGGGGAGGAAACATGAGGTAGGAAGACGAGGGTGACGAGGAGGGCGAGGAGGAGAAGGAGGAGGAGGGGTACAACGGAGGAGGAAGAGGGAGGAGGACGTTGAGGAGGGATAAGGATGGAGGAGGAGGGAGGGGGAGGAGGAGGAGAGGAGGAGGAGGAGGAGGGGAGGAGGGAGGAGGTGGGAGGGAGAGGGAGGAGGGAGGAGGGAGGAGGAGGGAGGAGGGAGGAGGGAGGAGGGAGGGAGGAGGAGGAGGAGGAGGAGGAGGAGGAGAGGAGGAGGGAGGAGGGAGGAGGAGGAGGAGGAGGAGGAGGAGGGAGGAGGAGGAGGAGGAGGAGGAGGGAGGAGGAGAGGAGGGA